CTTGCCATATGGACAGTGAAAGGAAACCAATAATAATGACCAACTTTTGAACCATGCCCTTTAATAATAATGTCATACTGTAACATAACATCTGGAAAGGAGTCACAGCGGTGTACATCTTCATATAATAACACGACAACTTCACATACTACTTCACGTCATTAACAACAGCCAACAAGAAATTCGCAGACATAGTTTCTCTGAGACTAGCACCTTTACGGTATGGAGATTTTGGCATCGAACAAATCCGGTGGCTGGACAACTCACTTTGCTAATCAATCACAAAAATCATCGTTGTCCAATGAACGCAGTAAATATATCTAATATACTTTAATAGGTTAAACAAAGGATATTGCTCTAGAAAAAATATGTATTTGTATGAACATGCATTCTCTATAAAAGAGCATTCTGTGTGTGGGGGAGGGGATCGGATTCTTGTTTACAAAAATTCTTCTGGAATGGATACTGTGCACTATGGATGACATCTAAGCATTGCCAACACTTCCTTGATCATGTGACTAATAACAGATGACACGGTGAACAAAGGGGGATCGGGTTATAATACAAAGCAGGAACTGACAAAAGAAAACCGAACATGTTTTCTCCCTTTCAGAGCAAACTGGACCATGCATGATCAGGTTTTTTTTTGGTTTTCTCTGCATCAGCTGCAGGTGTAAGGTTCTGTTGATGCAGAATTTTATTCATTTTGTTGTGTTTTGTTTGAACCTGGACATATGCATTTTATCAGCCTAATTAGGTAACTCCTTTTCAGCCAATCTATTAGTGCTAGATACATCTGTAATGACTACAGGTCCCAAAATGGCAGCTTCCAATGGTATGGCCCACCAATGGCTGAAGCTTGGTGCTTCCTCCTGTGGTCTATTAGGTCTATTTCAAGTATTTATGGGCTTTGTTTGTATATTCATTTGGTAGTCAATGATCTTAACCCATAACCTGTGGATATTAGGAGATATAATAGTGAGTATATATTTGTGTTCCAACCGAGAGGTCACCATGAAGTATTGCAAAATGTACAGCCACACATATGACTCCCAGAGGGAGAGGCATGATGGTATATGTAGCTGAAGTTACCTACCCCTGCCATAGATACTCCCATCACCTGTATTGAGACTGTCATAGATACTCCGCATCACATGTAATGAGACTGTCATAGATACACCCCATCACATGTAATGAGACTGTCATAGATACTCCCCATCACATGTAATGAGACTGTCATAGATACTCCCCATCACATGTAATGAGACTGTCATAGATACTCCCCATCATGTATACAGAGCATGCTGAGGTTGCCTAGCCCTGTTCTAAATGTTGGTATAGGTAACTAATGGCTGCTTTCATTGGTATAGCCCACTGTAGACATTGGGTGCATCAGTGGTGGAAAAGTATATGAACCAACTGCATTTTACTACCCTTTGCACATTGTTTTTTTTAGAGAAACTGATCGTAGTCTATAAAGGTAAAATTCTGTTGGTAATGTTACCCTCACATTATATACATGGCAGAGCTGGCTTGAGTTACAAAAAATCTGGTCTCCTTAGTTTAAAGCAATGTCTCTCTGGCTCCTAGCTCAATCATCCATATTTGCCCTTGGTCCCGTGAACCAGCCCTGCTTACCCTCCATGCCGTGTGCACAATAGCCATAACGTTCCTTTGCTATAAAAAGTGATTGAAATATTTCTCATCTGCTTATTTTCAATAATATCACACATTTTTTTTTTTTTTAAAATATACCATTTACGCTTGGCACTTCTTCCGCGAGTATTCAAGTACAAGACCGCCATCTTGAGTCACCTAATGCTGGGTACTGCCTCCGTAGATGGCTTTTAATTACACCCAGATTTATAATACTTATTTTCCCCTCACAGAAGTATTAATTTTATTTAATACTTTTATATTTATTGTTTCTTTTTTCTTAATTGTTACGACCAACCGAATTTCAAATACGAAAGTGCTCAGTTTGGCTACATAAATGTAGGCCTCAGTGTGCAGAGAAAAAAAAATGGTTCTCATTGTCTGTTTCATCCTTTTTAGGGCTCATTCAGACAGACATGCAGATTAGTAAAAAGACCCGATCCCTGAAAGGGACAGGTGCTGTGTGTAATTGCCGCAGCAGCCTGCTCTTCCCTATTGGAGGATGTAGCTGCACACAATTAAGGTGCCCATACACCTGGCGATTATCATACGATAATCGCCAGGTGTATGGGCAGCGTGCGACCGCATCTACTGTAAGGTCGCATGACTTTTGTCTTCCTAGCACACTGGAAAACCTGCCGAAAATCGTACGATTTTCGGCGGGTTGGTGGCGTGCTCGGAAGACGAAAGCCGCACTAGCTGGTGTGCGCAAGCACACACTGCCTACTCTGCGTTGCAATCATCGGCAAGCCCTCCCCTCAGCAGGGAGGGCTTGCGATGATCACAAGTACGATCTGCCTGTCCAAGATGGACAGGTCGTACGAAATTTGAATGATCTTACAACCATCGCAAAACGAAAGTCGTGCGATGGTTGTAAGGTGTATGGCCAGCTTTACACGCACATTTGTGTGGGTCCAGGTGTCTGCACTTGGATGCAGACAGTGTGTGTCTGGACCCGTACAGATGTGCATGTGACGATGTCTAATTGCGTGAAGCTACGTCCTTCCACAGACAAGAACAGGCTGCGGCACGCAATTGCACACAGCACCCTTTCTTTCCAAGATCGGGTCTTTTACTAACGTGCATGTCCATCTGAATGAGCCCTTCCGCTTTGCAGAGAAGTCAATACGTTGCTTCCTTCAGACACCAGAGCATGACTCCACTATGATACTAATATTTGTATGAGAACTGATCTGACTTGCGAAAAAGAAAAGTTTGAGTTTCCAAATAGCCGTTTCTGCAGATTTCCTATGACCTCTGAATGTGGGGTTCACAGCAAAAGACAAGTGTTAATTATTCACATCTATTTTAAAAGGAAGAAAAAAAGAAAATCTATACAGTTCTCATTTCCATCTATAAACAATCCAAAAATACATTACATAGAATACAAAAAAAAGCCATTCGTAAGGAAAAGACTTAAAATGGACTTCACTTATGAAAACTAGAGTAGGCGAAAGTTGAATAGTCCTACCGACCGATCAGCCGGGGGGGTCTGCTTCATCCGTATTCTTACCTCTAGTTCTTATAAGCGAGTCCCGACGTTCCTTCGTTTAGCGCTTTAAAATTATCCTGTGCTACATTGTTTTAAATCGGCAAAAAAATCTAAACCCTGATTAAAAGAGAAACAAAAAAAATTGGTTCAAAAATGACTCACCCCTAATAGAATTGCCTTAGCCTTTTTTTATGAATTATAATTACCTTTGTTATAACTATCCCTTTATTTCGGTAGTATACAGGTGAAATTATGTGAGCACACAGAAGAGAGAAACACAAACACAAGAGTGGTTGGAGGATCAAAATAACAAGAAATACCTTTTCATGGAGGCAGGGACTTAAAGTGCACTAGTCTATGTGAGCAGTGGTTTAGCCATTTTGTATGCTGGGTAACAAAATAATGAGAATGTTTCAGTATATTACAGTGTTGTCCTGAACTCAAAATATAATAGAAATATTAAGTGTGCCTGAGTAATACCCAGATAAATGTCCCTCTCGTCTTTAATTCCCCTTAAAAAATAGCACTGCACTTCCTGGTATGTGAGAGTGGCGGGGCATTCCTGTACCTACAAGCCTCATAGCTGTATATCTGCAGGGTGAGATCTAAGGGACTGCTGCCTCTGACTACTAGTCTCAGGAGATGTGGAGTGAGATTTGGTGATGCCACTACTGTGCTACTCTCTGTTCTGCTTGTAGGAGGCTCTGACAAGAGAAGCAAAGCCCTGCCTCTATCAAGATGGCAGCCTCCATACAGAGGCACAGTAGATAACAAGGCATGGTAAGTCAGTAATGGGGAAAAGTCCAGCTGCTGCGAGACTGGTGACTAGTCCTTTTCCCTCTGCATGCCTTTTTGTGTACAGCTTCCAGAGTTTATTTCCTCTTTAAGTACCGCTATAGAGCTAGATGTGATGTCACTGGCTCGGTCTACTTAGATACACTGTAAAGAAGACTGGTTTAGTGACAAAGCCTTCTTGTATTGGTTCAGTGACAAAATGGACTTCAACACTGGTTAAGTCACAAAATGGCTGCTTCTGCTGTTGGTAGACTATGGTGCACTTTAACCCTGGCTACATTGCAATATATTAGGAAATTTCAGTGGCATGCTGGGATTAGCAAACTACAACTCAAAGAATGAGGTTTAAAAGCATTTTAAAAAAAAATCGGGAACACTGTATTACTGTATGGCTTATGTGGACTCTATCACCATGGTAGATACAAGTGGTAATGTCTAGATTACATGTGTGAGTGATAGCATGGGTCACAATGGTTGTCTTCATCACTAAATCCCCCTTTTACATGCTAAAACGTTTTTTTTTCTTCATTTTTTTATATTGCTCATAATTGTTAATAATTTATAATATCAGCATTAAAAAAAACATCAAACTAAAGGATTTAAAATAAAAATAATAAAAAAATCTTAGCTGTAGTGTTTGTATAGGAAAAGTTAGGTTGCTCTGCTACTAAGGTGGTCTACACCTCACATTAAGTAGCCCCGTGGCTGTTCCACCAAACTGAACCCGCCCCTTGCCAAGCAGACGGGTCCTCCCATTGTCCATCTGTACAAGTCTGGAGCAGAATACAAGAGAAGGCGTGACACAACCCCCAGTCCTCCATAGTCCGTAAGAACACTTTCTTATGCTTGCTTTTTTTTTGTTTTGTCCTCTCCAAACCTTTTAAAATTTCCATGGGTATCTTTGAAACTAAAAATATGGGTTTTGGCACTTTATGGAAATAGAAATTAATCTGTGAAATGAAAAGCAGGGAAAAAAACCATAAAGGGATTAACTATGTGGAGAAGTAAAATCACTATTTACAATAGGAACACCAACAGATACTAAGGTTGTCTTTTATATGCTGCTCTTTTTTTGAACGGTTATAGTATTTGTTTCTTGAAGAGTTCGCCAACCCTGTGTATGCTCCTACAAAATCCTCCGAACGTAGACTGGAATGGATTAAAGACAAGTGTCAGGCTGCAGTCCCTTGTACCCGGCTCGGAAGGCTCTCCTTGGTTTTTCGACTCTTCTAGGAGAATCGCGGAGCCGAGCGATCATTTGTGGTGGTCCTCTTCAGTTTGACTCCGCGGCGGATTGCATTGAGCATATCCTCTCCCTGTGGTGCATCTGCCAGGGCAGTATCTGCTGTCTCAGGTTCTGGTGGGCCTGTGGGTTCAGGAATGACAGGACCATCTCGTTCATCTTCTTCGTCATCATTTTCTGACCGGCCTGGTCTTTGTTCTTCTGCAATAATGCCCTGGGTTCCCGGGACCGGGGGGTTTACAGAAGCTTGCCCACTCCATAAAGACGTAGGTATTTCACCGCCTAGCATGGTTCCTTCAGTGATAGATGGCGAGTCAGGACTCTGCTCAGGTGTCTCTTCACTGGTGCTGCTGGGTAGCCCACCTGGAAAGTCTGGGACAGTTGGGGTTTTGACCGGGATAACTGGTGTCTTTATTGGAATGGGACCTCCTCCGATGGTACCGCGTCTCACTGATGGCTTCGTGGAAGGTGTCCTCCGGATGGTGGCCACACCAGGAGTGACTATTACAGGAGCAAAGTTGGCTGGCAATCCTGCGGTGGATGCAGGGCGCTTGGCCTGAAACATTCTGCGGTATGACTGACTGATGTCACTGTTTCTTGGGATGGTGGAGGACTTGTCAAAATCCTGTTGCTCTTGCTCCTGATCTCCGCTCACTGAGAAGTAATCATAATCTGAAACTAGAAACAAAAGAGAGAGGTATAAGTGTTCAGTGCATTTCTTGTAGAAGACATTAGGGTTTTATTTATCAATGAAGCTGGGGGAAATGCTGTCTTGTATAGTCATTTTTCACCACAACATACTAACCAGGATATCCCTTTCATTCTCCCAGAGAGACAAAAAGAAACATCTAAATGGTCGCTATGAGTAAAAATAACAGTTCTTCCTAAACAATGCTAACTGAGATGTATGGACTTTACACATGGCAGGTCAGTCTGACATAGGAAGTATACTGACCCAACACTTTCAGTCCATTTCCAACTGCCATTATGCAAGGAGTACAGTACGGACACATTTTTGCTGAGATTCATGCAACAGGGAAGCAGGCAAAGCTTTCACCTTTGATGCACGGATTCAGTGACTGCATATCAATTACCCTTGTTGTGGGGTACATTGGCAGATAAATCAAGGTACGCACAGGCACCTCTTAGTGTTAGATTCAATATCTGTCATTAGTGACAGATTTACTTTCAGTAAGAAATGTCACCCAGTGTCCATGTAAATTTGGATAGAGCGGTGAGGGGTTATAGCCCTTTGAGGCTTTTATTGATATCTATGGCTCCACCGGCAAGATTCACTATTTCAATCTGAAATGTTGACAAATAGAGGGGCAATCGTCCAAAGGGGACACTTGTTCCAGTGACTACTAAGAGCTGTTTTCCTTAGAGTCACTTCCTCTAGTGCATACAGCACAGAAGCTAAAGAAAATCACCTCAATGAGACTCATACAACTAAAAACAAAATGATCGGTTTTATCTATTACGTATTCTATCCACATAAAAAAAAGTTTTGGCTTTAAATGCACCATTTAGCTTGTGCCATGGCATCAAGAGTCACAAAGCCTGGCAGACTTTCAGACTTCCAATGCTCTGACACTAAGTTAAAAAGTTAGGCTCAGGCAAGTAAAGTTATGCAAAGTGGGAAATAGAAAATCTGCATAATTCAGCCTTCCACCAATTTAAGACCAAATATTCGGATTGTTGCATAAGCCCCGTTATGACTGTCTCGCTTTAATATAGCAAAATACAGCTGGATTTGGTAAGTTTGTTTCTAATTGGTGCCTGTGTGTTAACACATTGTTCTCATCTATGATGATTTAGAATGAGGACTAGGGTGCCCCATACCTTGTGATGGAATGGTGTCTTCTGAACAGCATGGGGTAGTGGTTTGTGTACTGTATCCACTGGAGCATTGCAGAGAATCCCGACTGCTCCTCTGTGTATCCAGCTGTAGGCCTCTGCTCAGGGCAAGAGCAAGATCGTCACAGTTTTCTGCTTCTTCTCCTTGCTGTTGAGGGACACAAGAAAGACCGTGAATAAATGAAACCTTCACAGAAAAGGACAGATGTGCAAAGCTGAGGAAATCAGAATTGGGCAACCTGCAGGCTTTCAATTGTTAAGAAACTACTGTTAAAGCTGGTATGGCTGCCCAGCCATGCTTAGACTTCTGGAGATCCTATGAGCAGTGCTGACATGTCTAACCCTTTGCTGAAGGCCTGCAGGTTGTTTCCAGACCAGAGGTGCCCAAAATGTGGATTACGATCTAATCAGATATATTATTAACTCTTCTAAAAAAACCTTTGTGGAATCCTAGAAAAAAAAAGCATTTGGAAACTCAATGATATTACTGAAAGAATAATGTCTATGCCCTCATCTATCTGTGAGTAGACAGGAGCTACATTTGCATTCAGGGGGATCCACAGTCAAACCACAGTTCAGTTAACATGAGATAGAGTTATTCCATTTATACATGGAGCAATAGAATCAAATACAACAATCAGTGAAGAAGTTCATTTATGTGTTTTTAAAAAAAAAATCAGATGGGACATAACCCAAAATACAATGTGATAGGTCTAGGGTCATAACTGGGATAGGCTAATCTCTAGTTCTAAAATTGTAAGCTGATAATCTATGCTCGATTGGTAAAACAAATGGCTGGGCACCTCTGCTCTAGGCCACAAGTAAACAAAAATCCATTTTGGCAAGCTTCAGTGCTTAAGGATCAAATCAAAATTGACAGTCACAAAGCATAAAGAAAAGAAATCTAGAATGTTGAAACAGCCCCGTCATGGACATTGCTGTGCTAAAGCGTACTATATTGCAGTTGTTAAGAGTTTTTAATTAAGCTGAAAAAAAAAACAAGCACAGTGTCCTGAAGACCAGTGTTAGCAGCTACAGAAAGATGAGGAGAATCTGAGAACAAAGGGTTAGAGACGTGCTATTTGGTCAAATGACACTTTACCCTTGATGCCACGAGCATTCTTGTACTGCGGGGTGAATAAGTCTCACTAATCAGTCCAGGATGCATGAACTGGGCTCCTGAAGATGTCTCGACTTCACGTTTGCGTCTCTGAAGCGTGTTCATCGTAGGCTGGTCGTACGGACCTGGCTTAGCCCAGTCCTGAATGAAAGGTTAGGATATGTACATGGATGTTCCCAACATTACTTTTTTTTTTTTGTCTCCCCCAAAGCAAGCACACAGACGTGAGAGAATAGAATAAATCAGGGCTGGATTTTTCATCATGCCAGGCTCCTCAAAATCCCTGACTGGCGTAGAGAGGCCACATGAAGCTGGGCTTATAACTGACCAGAAAATGTCTACAAGCCTTTAAAAAGGCCCTTTCTCAATTGTGGGTAACAGCATGCAAATGTTATAGCAAACATCTAGAAATGTGCTCGGAGGGAAAGCTGTAACTAGGGACCTGCAGTGCAAGGACCTCCCTTCTTCATTCCTTCAGCAACTCTGTGATCTCTGCACCTCTTTTGCGGCTTCTGGATCAGTACCGCGCTAGTGAGCAGATAACCAGTTATTGGGGGGGGAGGGGGGTGGAAGCTCCAACTTTGGGAAAGCAAAGTCCTGCCTCTATCATGACTCCACCTCCATAAAATGAGACACAATGTGGAACATGGCAAGTTAGGTCTGTAATAGGGAAAAGCCTGCAGGAAGCCCACAGGCAATGCTGGTAACTAGTTATTTTCCCACTGATTTAATTAATACTTTGCCAAGGAGAGGTGGTTTCTTATCAGAAAGCTTACATATGCAATATATGGCCAAAAAGTATGTGATACCCCTCCATAGTGAAAAGTACTATTGATGCAAAGACATTTTAGGCAATTGTGCACTTTCAACATTGTGGCACCAGTTTTGGGAAGGCCCTTTTCTGTTCCAGCATGACTGAGCCCCTTTGTAACAGCCAGGCTCCATTAAGACCTGGTTTGATGAGTTGGGTGTGGAGGAACTTGAGTGGCCTGCACACAGCAGTGATCTCAATCGCACCAAATACATTTGGGATAATTTATAATGGCCACTGTAAGCTAGGTTTTTTCATCAAACATCAGTACCTGACCTCACAAGTGCTCTTTTGGCTGAATGGGGACAAATTCCCACAAACACACTCCAAAATCTTGTGGAAAGCCTTTCCAGAAGGCAAATATAAAACCACGTGAAAAGAAAGGACTTCATTTATTGAACATTGCATGTATGAACCCATATGGTTATCAGAAAATAGTATTTTTCTGCCATAGTGCTTCTTCAACTTGACCAATCCTAAAGCCCTGGTATCCAGTGATGTAAATCCAGCCCTGATAAAAGTACAAAAGTACAAAAGAATATTAATTGGAAGGGGCCATCAAAATAAATGACAGCATGATCTCTTAAAAGTACTACTGTAAAGGAGTTATGAATCACCCACATATTGAGGAGTGCTACAGAAGGAGAGCAACAGAAATTTAAAGTGGGAGACTTTATATTGAAAACCATTATTTTGTTAGGACGTCTCTTCAGTGAAGGACCTTTTAATCATGTAACTGTTTTCAAGTAAGTATGATATAGATCTAGGCTGTGATGGAGGAGTAACACTAGGCCACACTGATCAGTATCTGATGGAGGATTCGGATTGACTGAATCAGTACAGTTTTTCATCTGACACTTATAATGAAGGTCCCATGGTTCCCCCACACTATAACACCTTTCCCCATCTCACCAAGAGATGGGGCACCTATAGGGAAGTGCTGATGAAATGTCCATTGGCTTCATGGAGTACCCTATCCATTCAGCACAGCCTCAACACTTATTTTAAGAAAGGTGGAAACAGCCCAACAAACACCAATTTGTATTCCAATTTCTCAATATTTTACGTTAATCTTTTCCCCCAAATTGTGCCAATAATAATGCCACCTTGAAGTGTATTTAAACCCTTCTCCTTTTGTTAAATATACTGTTATAAGTGTTTTGTTAGATCCGTCACACAAGTGCCAAAGACCTGTTGATTTTGCTAAAAATCCAGTGAATTTGCAACTTCCTATGAGTATTGTCAGCCTTGCTCAGTTCACCCTTTGAAGATAACAGAACCCCTCCCCCAGATTATGAAGATGGGGGAGGTTGTAGTTATAACACACTTCCTGTCATAGGGTGGCACTGCTGCTCCCTTATACATGCAGTACAGTGAATGAATGTTGCCACCGAGGGCCGGAAGTTTGTTACTGGCAGAATCAAAATGGACAAAAAAGGAATCTAAGGCCCCTTTCACATGGCCGTTCTGTCAGTTAGTTTTTGACCCATAATTGCGGACTGCAATGCATCCCTATGGACAGCCACATGTAAGTAGATGTATGTTCCACCTATATCCACCCACTTGCGGGTCGGTTTAGGTTCATCAGACCAAATGCAAAAAGTTTGCATCTAGGTTTTATTGACCTGACCAGATGTGAGCAGACAAAAGGTGGGCCCATCCCATTTACCAGCCACCTACAGCGATTACATGGGTATATCTTTCCTCCATCCCAACATAGAGGAAAACTCAAAATGGACATAAATGTCACATACGTGACATCCATCTCCGTTCGAGTTCAACTCAGCAGGGGATGAGACTTGGAATGGACAGTGCCCATGTGAAAATAGCCCAATGCTGCCACCACACCTAAACACCCGGCCACTTATATAGTAATTACATGGATCCAGCTTCCCTCCATCCCAAGAGGAAAAGTCAGAATGGTTATGAATGTCACATATGACATCCGTCTACATTCTGATGCAACTCAGCAAGGGATCCATCTAGGAACGGACTGCACCCATGTGATTGGTGCCTAATGCTGACACCTTATCGAAGGTCTTTTAAGCTGTATTATATTACATTTTTGCCAATGCAGGGAGGTTGGGGATGAAACTTTCCTTTGATTTTTTTTTTCTGTCTTTGCAACATTTTGGCCGTTTCTATTTTTCTCTACTTTTTAACGATTTCTACACTGCAACTCTGTATATCAAACTTCTATTACCAGGGAGAAAAACCAGAGGAAGTTTAGTTATCCAATAGGGCAAACCACAGCAAAGTGATAAGGAATCATTCTACAGTTAAAGTAGGATCAACTGGATGAAAAACAGTTATATGGCCAAAAGTCCCCTTCAAATGACAATCCCATGCAAGACAAATAATTGCCAAAAAATACAATAAAGGAAGAAACTGATTAAAGAACAGAGTTTCAGGTAAGAAAACAAAATTGGCTGACAGTGAAAGGTTTGGCACTGCACATAATCCTACTAACGTCACCATAACATATCTCACGTGTTCCCAGCCTCAGAGCTGAGTGTACTGAATGTAGAGCACATTAGCTTTTCCACTTGTGTGTATAATATGCATGTTTATGTATAAAGCTTGGGTACTACTTTAGCCAGTAAAGGGTGTTACTTAGGGTGGCCATACACTGTGCAAATTTTGGCCGGTTCTTGAGGAACCGGATGAAATACGCACAGCGGGTGCCGCTGTTGGCATCCTTTCAGCCGGCATTCCCCGATGAGCTGATCGAAGGAGCCGGTTGTAAAATCTTCGTACGACCAGAGGTGGCAGCCAATGAGCTGCCGCCTCTGCTCTGTTCGGGTATTCTGACAGTGGCTGCTGTCGGAACACAATGCAATCAGTGGGGATTCCTCGATCGACACACTCGTAGTGTTGGAGGAATCTGCTCTATTTTTTGGGTTCAGCCTGCTGGTTGAATGAGAAAAATAGAGCAGTGTATAAACAGTCTAAAACGCTAAACTTCCATTAATCGATGGCTAAGAGGGCACGGCACTGTACTATTGGTTTTAGGATTATATAAAACGTTATATATTTATTGTGTTATTAGTGTAATTCAAATGCTTTTTACGTTATAATGTATCCTTATGGAAGGTGCTCTGGCTAGAAACATTAGCTATAACAAGCATAATTAAAAAAAAAACGTTGCCATTAAAATGAACAGTACAGGACTATTTCCATGCTTGACGTGGACAAGCCATGAACGGGAATTGTAAGAATCTGAATCCCCACTCTTACATTGCTATAGTGGTGAAGCCTTTCATTGAGGTGTGGTTGCTGTTATTTAGTTGTAGTCTCTCCCTGACCTTTTTCCAACCTGAGCTCAGGTATAACCAACACACTCTCTGGGCTCCTGGAGGGAGGGTAGAACTGTCAATTTACAACGCCCTTTGTTTTCTTTAATTGATTTGCGACAGCATCTTTGTTGTATGACAATTTTTGAATGTCTGTTACAGCACTGATCTCTGTCAGTTAGGACACAGTTGTAGTCACACACTCAGCCTGACACTTCCGCTCTTACTGGGAAAGAATACAATAAAAAAAAATCAAGAACTCTGAGAGGTAAGGCTGCATTATTATAACAATTCAAGAGTGGAGATTTAGATGATTAAAAATATCCACTGGTGATTGGTTGTCTTTAAAGGAGAACTATGGGGTCAGTGCTTTCCCCCATAGCTCTCCTATGGGTAACGGGAGGACACAAACTAGCGTCCTCCCTTCACCCAAAGCTGTAGCTCGCCGTATACTGAGATGACGCAGACGGGACGGATCCTGACAATACTGTATGGATCCTCCCAGCTACGCGATTGACAGCTGCCTCTGCCTATTTAGAGGCAGAGCCAGCTGTGCCCGCCCCCTGCCCCGTCCATTCCGCCAGTCAGCGCTGGAGGATCGGACACGGGAGGGGGGAATCCCTGCAGGGAGCCCTGAGGGACAGTCACGGCTCTCTGCAGGCACAGGATCGGGAAGTGAGCGAGCGACGGTATGTGTTCGCTCACTTCCCGATCTACTGATCCGTTGGTGACAGTTTCATTGTCACACGCCGGCTCGAACTATGAGGCTTTTCACTCACCTCATAGTTCTCCTTTAAAGCCCAATTTTGGGCTCTCCCATGTTAAATATGTAAGAAAAATGATCAATTCCATGGACCTAAAACTACATGACAAATAACGCCAATGCTGAGAGAGCCAGCACAGTGTATGTGATATATATAATATCAGGCTCTGAATTACAAATACTTCTACTCTTTACCTTCTATTCCCATCATAAAGCTTTTTAATGCATGAATATTCTCTGACACTTCGGGCAGAGATGGTGAGCTCAGTGGGGTTGTGCGGTGTGGAATTAACAGAGATGCTCAAAACCGTACAGAAATCAGGAAGATTAGAAGATGACAGGAAATGAGACGATGAGGGGAAAAAAAAAAAGCTGCACCACACAAACACAAACCTTCCAGGTAGGGACCTTAGATGACGGCAACATGCTCGGACCAATGGTGTAATAGTGATAGTCTGGGAGGGCGGAGCTAGATCGGGTCCAGGGGCGGGACACTGGGAGCGGGAAATGGGTGAAATGGCCTGCCATAGGCAATTCGCCATAGTGATGATACCCATTAGACAGCTGGAGACGGACAACATGAAGGAAGGGAAAAAACAGAAACAGGGAACAAAAAGCAAAATCAATATAATGGCAAAAGTGACTAAAATCAAATTGAGATTGATCCACCTCTAAACCCAGAGGTGGCAGCCATTTTGTTGATGGTACCAAAAAACAAGGAAGATGGGAGGTATTTACGGCGCTGGTCACTTTATCGAAAATCCATAAAAGCAGCTACAAAAGATTGCTGAAATGTTTCAGTCCACCAAGGGACCTTAATCATAGGTCTCTTGATGGACTGAAACATGGTAGCAATCTTTGTAGCTGCTTTTATGCCTTTCCAATAAAGAGACGCCATTAAGAGGATTCCTACTAGTGCCAGCTCTTTTCTACTTCATTTTGCTGATTGGGTCTGGCAGAGACTTACGCTGAGCACCGCGGTTCCCATGAAATATTGGGTCTAAGAAGGTAGAGAGGCTTTATTCTTGCATTGTATGGAAGTATTTCCATAGCAACCACATTCTATGTTCACTCTTCTACCCCAGGTTAGGGTATGAAAGGGAACACATAACTGGCTTTGATAGACAACACATGCTCCTTCCTTCCACAGACCCATTATCCTAAAACATGAGGCCCACTGAGGCACAATTATAACAAATAGCAGATGGTGATATCACTTAGACCCATTTCTTTAGATGTAATGTACTATGACCCATGCCAGGTGTAGGCAACCTCAGCGCTCCAGCTGTTGTGGAACTACAAGCCCCATGAGGCATTGCAAGACTGACAGCTACAGATAGGACTCCTAGAGGTAGAGGCTTCATGGAATTTGTAGTTTCACCACAGTTGCAGTGCCAAGGTTGCCTACCCCTGACCTATGCAATGTACTATGGCCAAGGCTTAATTTTCACGACTATTGTTTCAGCTCACAAAATGGCTGCCATAACTCGAGGAGATGATGGGTCTGTGCAAAATAAAAAACAAAAATGACGAATGATAATGAAATGGCAGTAGGGTAAACTGATATGTGATAAAATAATAATAAATACAATTAAACTGAATAACAATTCGAATTTCAAAGTATATGGAACAAACAACCTCTACATACAAAATATCTTCACAGCTGATGGAAAAAAACCACACAAAAATAAATTGCTTTAGAACCCTAAAATGCATTAGCGGAATATGAAAACATTATCACAAGTATTAAAATGGTAAAATAAATATCGGTACAGAGTACAATGTCTGCGGCTGCACACAGGTCAGATAGAATGAGATTGCAGATAAGAAGAAAGATTATAAGGTGAACGCCGGGCACAGAGATGTTGGTAAGTTCTGACGTGTAAACAAATGTTACCTTTGCTACGGTGTAATAAATGTCCAGATCGCCGCACGGTACAGAGCTCCCGCTATACATTTTGCCAGCTCCGGATATGAGAGTTGGGGGTCTTAAAGATGGAAGATCTAGTGTCTTTATTCCACCCCCCACCCCTTGGCTTTTCACAAAAGGCCATGTACTCTATGAAGGGTTGTAAGAATTGATATCTTTGTCTTATTCAAATATTTCAGGCTTTGTAACTCTATCCCAGAGTCTGAACAATTCCACAACCTACAAATGAAACACTATATATATATACTATACCAGTCTTGCCTCATGCTCCCCAATATCGCACCTACAACATTCACAACTATCTGCTCTAACTCAGCATCACCAATATAACATCCTTCTATGGTCATCTTAATCCCATACACCACACCCGAAAAACTATCCTGGTAAGAGGACACAGTGAAAGTTTTCAATATAGAAATGGAATATATAGAATGGAATAGCAAACCTAAAACCACAAAACACGGGGCTATCTACACTAGTAAAACAGCAATGAAACTTCAGAATAGATGATACCAGGGTCAATCAAAAAGTAATGCCTCCATGTCTGTAATTTGAGATCTATTAGAGTGACTAGTGATTAGAACCATGGATCTGCAGTTAAAACAACGAGCTGTAATTGAATTTCTGGCGAAAGAGGGTTGGGCACCTAAGGAAATCCATAATGTAAACCAAACTCCAGGATGTAAACAAACAATGGAGGCCGGGCCTGTCAGAACTTGGTAAGTACGCATCTGTGCAGGGGGAGGGTGGGATCTATTCACATAAAAAGTCAGTGGGGATGTACTGTGCAGGTGCGTCAAGGAAAGGGGAACCTTGGCTGCAAGATGTAAATGAACAATGGAGGTCGGGCATATGCACAAGAAGAGAGTGGGATCTATTCTCATAGCAGTCCCTGGCCATGTACTGCACAGGTGCAGCCAGGAGAGAGGATCCTTCATTGCAGGATGTAAACAAACAATGGAGGCCCGGCCTGTAAGAACTCAGTAAGTATGCATCTGTGCAGGGGGAGGCTGGGATTGGTTGGGTCAGCTTAGGGGCCAAAAGGAAAAGTGCTCTATGTTTTAAAGTGCACCCATACTTTTACCCATCATGCAAGATTATTTGTGTCATATTCTTGCCATTCCGGTCTCATTACACTTGTAGCATTATTGTACATACTAAATATTGTCTATAGTCTACACACTGTTATGTCATTGCTGTTAACAGACTAACCTGTGACCGATAACATCTTTTTATTATGTAACGCATTTTGCCTATATAAAACCTCAATAAAAGAAATATCTTGAATTCTGTACCGAGCCTTCTACAACTTTGCCCGTGTTTATTACTTTATTCCACACAAGGTAATTTGCTCTGATTTATTGGTTCTCAGGCCAGGCAGTCAGTACAGAGTATACACTTTACATTTTATCTTGATGACAGTATCTGGGATTGCAGCAGTTCAGGAGACAATGTGAAAGGTGTTAGCGTGGATGATAATAAATGACAGTTAGTTCCCGGGGTACTAATCAGCTGTACACATTGTAATATAGGAATAGTTCACCAGAAGGGAAAACAATCCTCACCTTGTCGGTGGAGGCCCACGCTCCCATGGTGGAACCGGAGCTCACGGACGTGGGAGAACTGCACTCGCTGACCGATTGGCAAGTCTCAGACGCTTCAGAGGAGGCAGAGCTGGAAGAATTCTGGAACAAGGGAGAAGAATGGACGGGGGAAGGGGGGATTGTGAGCAAACGAGGAGAGAAGCAGCTGAAACTTCAGAGTTGTTACATTTCATTTGAAGACATTTGTATAGAACATGAGTCAGATCCTCTGCCAGGCTTTTATTGCCGTCTGTGCTCTTGTTTGGGACATTCGTCCTTACTACAGGTCCTGGTGGCTATTGTCACTGAGTAAAAAATGATGGGAAATCCCAAACTCTGTAATTGTCATCAGAACAGGAAATGAGCAGAAAACCTCCAATGGGCAAATCTGCTCTGGTGACATCTAAAAGGGGATTATCACCTTTTTTGCAGAGATTTCCTCTTACTTCCTGCTTTGTCTCAAGGACAGGAAGTGAAGGGACACAGAGGAAAAACAAGACAAAGATACTTAACTACATCCTACTCTAACCAAAAAAATAAAGTTTTGCCTTTACATACACTTTAAATGGAGGGGGCCGATACAAGACCAGTCACCCTGCACAACGAGAGAGAGCAGCAGTGATAGGTCTTTATTAGAGGAGGGGGCGGATACAAGACCAGTCACCCTGCACAATGAGAGAGAGCAGCAGTAGCCGGTCTTTATTACAGGAGGGGCGGATACAAGACCAGTCACCCTGCAGAAGGAGAGAGCAGCAGTGACCGGTCTTTATTACAGGAAGCTCCTGTACAGAAGCAAAGTTTTCACACCTGTTTACTGCACTGATGTGGAAGAAATACACAAAGCACATCAAGATTCCTGTAAGAATAGACATGTCTCTTGGCTGGCAGCTATTGTCAGGTTTTTTTTATTTTTATTGGAGTCCAGGACCCCATCGGGTAGAATTACTCTCACATCCTGTTCCTGTCTCAATGTTGTAGCTGGGACTAGAAGTGAGGGAAAATCACCAACAGTGACAAAGCCAGCAACAAAACCCTTTTTTTTTTAGAATGGGGTAGGGCTAAAGAACCTTTGTCAGGTTTTTATTGCTGTCTATGTCCCATATTCATATTGTCTTTCACTTCCTGTCTGCAACAAGTTGTCACTTGAAATGGAAATGAGGAAAAATCTCCCTAACGAGGCCTCAGACAGCAATAAAACTCCAATGGGGGTTCTGACCCTTCCCTAATGTATTAAAAAAACAATACATAGAACCCAACAACGGTGCAGGTTAGTGCCACGACCCCCGACACATCACAGAATGAGAACCACAGACTTCAGGGTCTTACCTGGTTGACGGCTTCTGGTGGCATAGGGGACGGAGACTTTGACTGAAAAGCATCTTGGGAAATGAAGCCGGAATCGTGCGAGGAGACGCTGGACAGCCTCATTGGCGCCTGCTGGGGCAGATTGGAGCTGCGATAGCGATAGTGTGAAGTGGGTGAGTGTGAGTGCGAGCCGCTCGACCTCGAGTCACTACTGTTAACGCTGTTCAGACTGCTGTGTAAGACAAAGGGGAGGGAGAGGAGAGGAAAAGACGAGGGGCGGGCAGCAAAATGTGGGGACAGAGGAGTGAAGGGAATGAAAAGAAAATACAAAGGAGAGGGGGAAAAAGGGGAGGGAAGAAAATCAAGCACCAAATTATAACTCCACAAATTTCCAGCAAGCAGGCAGCAAGACCAACAAATGACAGACACACAGTACGACAACAACAGTATCTCACATTTCAGGCGGCTGGGCATGCTTCTTCAGGGACATCAGGGTGCCTGAAGATATAACCCTCCCCAACTCTAACAAAAATGTTTTGCCAGGTGCTGGGTTTTTCTTTGCACATTTGCAAACTTTTTAAAGCCACCCGAGGTCATCGATGCCCAGGCCAAGCAGCAGAAGCATGTGTCATTTTACTGGACAATATCTTTATGACTAATCTTCCGAGCTAAATCATGTTTGTGGGGTTTTTTTTAAGGACATAAGACTTATTTGGTACACTGTTTTAATGAAAAAATACTATTTTTTTTTTCTAGGCAGACAAATGTACTTTTTTTATAAATTTTTCTATTTTTAATGTATTATCTTTTTTTAATACTGTACTAGTATTTATTAATTACAGTGCTACAGAGATGGCACTACAGACGCCACTGCAGACTGAAGGTGGCAGTGTTCATCTAAAGATTGAAGGCTCTTCTTTTCTCAGTGAAGCCTCCAGGATGCATGTGGTCACTATCTCATAGCTGTATCTGTAAAGAATAAGTCAAGGCAACTGGACTTGCTGTATTTTTCTTGAAGACGTTTCACTGGTCATCCAACCAGCTTTCTCAATTCCCAATTGAGAAAGCTGGTTGGATGACCAGTGAAACTTCAACAAAAATACAGCAAGTCCGGTTGCCTTGACTTATTCTTTACAGATATACCATGGCCTGGATGAATGAGAACCTTCACAGACATATCTCATAGCCGACACCGGGATCACATGATCAGGAACTACTTTGATTGCTTCCCAAATGTAATTGGGGACCTGAGTTGTCAGTTATCGCAGGGATTGAGAGCCAGCATCTGCACAAAGAGTCGGCTGGTAGCTGTCAAACAGGGGACGTTTATAAATGTATCCCCAGCAAGGGGCATCATATTGGGAAATGTTTATATACAGATTGCCAGTGGGAGGGGGTTAAATTTAAAAAAAAAAAAAAACACAGGATGTAAAATGCATATAAACACTAGCTGGAGTGCTTAAAATACATCATCCTCTGCATTAAAACATCGTGGAGCTAAGGAAGTTTTCAAAAACACAAGTGTTGGGCCCTACAAATATACATTCAGCCACAAGGTGGCACTGTAATGCAACAAAACGTAGCTCTGAACAGCCTGTCCAATGGAACAGGGACATGAGCTACAGTTTAAAGGAAAATTCTATTCCATCTTTTAAAAAAAATGATATAGTATATATAATAAAAGCCATTCTGTAATTTAAGGGCAGTATGAATTACATTTCCACAGACACTGTAATTTTCTAAAATGGTCCAAAAATTAAGTTGTCACTTCCATTGGAATATGGCAAATTGAAGGCATTTCGTACATGCCCCAGAAATCTAATATGAGTCTGTGTGAATGGCACAATGCTGAGATACAAATCAAATTCCAGGCATCCACTGCCACAGGAGATTTATATATTGTTGAGGCTCCTCCGCTGTAAAAGGATGCCTACATTGCAGCTTTTCTCATTACAACACTGAGATTGCTCTGGGTGGTTGTTGTGAAGGCCGTTCCTCCCAACTACAAATCAATCTGAGAAATCACATGGCGATAACGAAAAAATTTTTTCAGAACAGAGAAAGTTAAGAAAAAAAAATAAAAATAAAAATAAAAGGTTGCTAAATACCGTGCACTGTATATTTCCATAAACTATATGTATTAGGGATGCACCAAAATTTCTTCTGCCAAAACACCACCCAAAAATGGTACTATGAGCAAAATACCAATAGTACAAAAACAGGCGAAAATTCCCCATCTTCTCTCCTCCCAGCTGTGTGACGGTTGCACACTTCAGTCTGTGTACCCACTGGCATCACAAGGGCGGCCCACACCCGGGTGACACCAAAATGACTGACCGTCATTTTGGTGTCACCCCCTCTGAAAAGTCAGGCACTCGGTCATTGACTGAGAGCCCCGACAGCATCAGGAGAGAGCAGGGGACCCAGCAGAACACCGCCTCAATCCACCAGGTGAACGTCCCCTCCTCTCTCTACCGGTATCCTCCACCAAGATGGCAGCCGACAAGCGTCAATAAGATGGCCGTGCGAATACGTCACGGCGGGGTGTCACCCGGTCTTCGCTCCGGGTGAGACCTGGCCTCAGGACACCCCTGTGTGTACCCCTCCGATCCCCGCTGCTCCTCGCCACTTGTGTCGGCAGAGACAGCAGAGATCGGAGGGGTCACAGAGCAGATCAAGCTGCCGGCTCTCAGCGGGGAGGAGAGAAGCTGCCAGGGGGCCAAGCAGGGCGGAAAGCTCTGGCGGGAGGGGGCGGAGCTTCAGGATCGGTATATATGTTAAATATTTACTGATCCTTCACTGTAATGAGCAAACACGGAGTCATCAGTCCTGATCACTTGGTGTTTGAGGATTAACTGAGGATTACTAAATCCCCAGTTATGAATGAACAGGAAGTGCCATACATCACTTCCTGTTTATTTATGAATGGGGACATAGCAAATATTTGCCATCTGCTCACTTTAATAATGAACAGGAAGCAGCTCAGTACAGAGGCTTCCTGTCCATTCATGACTGGGTTGATAATAAATATTTACTATCCCTAGATTGTGAATGTAATAAGAGCTTCCTGTTCATTGAGTGCTGGGGCTGGGGCTGTAGAAAAAGATTAAGGCTTTGTCCTTGAGGAGATTGTGTCTTCAATCTCTATTTCTATTTTAAAAGGGAAATATCAGGGGTCTGAACCCTGATATTTGCCCAAAACCCCCAACAAAAATATATAAATAAAATAATTTTTTTTTACAAATTTTAAAAAGGTTGGAAAAAAAGTTAATTTTCCATTTTGGTTTCAGCCAGACAGACAAATTTTGGAATTTCGGTTTCAGTCTAAACATTTCATTTTGGTGCATCCCTTAAATACAGTATATATTCTATAAGGGAATTTGTTTCCAAAAAAACTGGTGCTACACTTGCACTTAAAAACAATATGTAGGATACTGCATGTACCAGATCTGTATATATATCTTCCACAGATCAATCTGGATAGATTATATATATATATATATATACACACACACACACACACACACACATATACACAGTGTATGTGCGCACAAACACTGAGATTACACAAGGTCAACACAAACTTGCTGGATTCTTCATGCTGCTGAAGTTCCCATGAAAACTCCATAGGATATCAGAGGGAATACGCATTACTAGGAGAGACATGGGAAATACCTACCAGAAAAATAACTGGGGGTTCAAACACCATTCGCTATATAGGCCAAAGGCAGCATGCTATTAAAACCATTTCAGAGATCCAAAACAGTTTGTCTGAGGTGAGTGCGAGGACATGAATTAATTCAGTACACACAGGGGTCTGTGTAACAAGCAGGCAGATTCTTCTTATGTACCGGTACATCGGTCAGTCTCTACAAAGACTAAATCATTCATAACAAAAAACGTAAACAGCAACCCCATCCATAATAGACTATTCATTTCTCTGTTGGGTCTTCCCTGCCGGCCATGACCATACCAGAGGAAGCGGGACAGGCCAGGTATATTAGGCTACTGTTATCAGCCGGATATCTCCATATATTGTTTTATATATCTCCATATATTGTTTTATGCAGAGTTCACTAGACTGTGCAAGATTTATAAATGTTCTGCTTTCCTGCATTCTGCTTTACAGGGTTAGTTCACACAAAACCCTCCTAACCCTCCTGGTCCCTGTTGCACTTAGCTGCAACAATGACCATAGCCCGCCACCCATGCCAGCTAATAAAGGTCTCGACACTTAAAAACATCACCACACAGCCTTGGGGGCTGTATAGCAACATAATGCTTGCAGCGGGGAGTTATCACTGGCGAGAGTGGCCATGTAACCGCCCTGGTGAATCACGATCTCTTCTGAGTCTTCTTTCTACTGGAAGGGCGTCTCGGAAGAAAAAAAAAAAAGAGATTCTCATTGGCCGGTGCAGTCAAGTGGCGGCTCTCCATTGTATGTATTATGTTGCTATACAGCCTCCAGGACTGTATAGTGAAGTTTTTAAGTGTTGCATGGAGGCCGATGATCAATATTGTAAAAAAGTGACCCAAGAGGGTGGGGCGTCTCAGAAGAAGAGATTATCATTGGCCAGCGCAGTCACGTGGCTGCCCTCCATTGCATGCATTATGTTGCTATATAGCCTCCAGGACTGTATTGTGAAGTGTTTAAGCGTTGTGCGGCTGGCAATGGTCATTATTGCAGCTAAGTGCAGCAGGGACCAGAAGGGTGGGGAGGGAGTTGTGAGTTAGTTCACCTTTCCTTTTTTTTGTGTGAACTCTAATGTAGAATGCATCAAAGGCAGAACATTTGTGTGTCTTGCAGTCTAGTGGATTCAATATTAAAAAATATACGGAGATATCAGACTGATAACAATAGCAGTATGCTGCTGTACTTTGAATCATCATAATGTAGGGGAGGAGGCGGGCGTACAAAATATCTTTCAGGACCCCGGGCCCTGTACTGCATATTAGCTGCTAGGTAAAGTGTTGTTATATGAAGTTATACTTCAATAAAGTGTTATTTTTCCATTAGACCCGAGCTGGTCTTAAAATGTATGATTATCAATACACTTTTAATATTCTGCACAAAGCAGCACAAACGGTTAGAAAAGAAAACATGAAATATACTACATGGCCAAAATTTGTGTAGACCATCACATCTAATTAATCTTTCTGACATTCTATTCTAAAACCACAGGCATTAATATGAAGCTGGCTCCCCCTTTGAGGCTATAAGAACCTCCACTCCTCTGAGAAGGCTTTCCACAAGATTTTAGAGTGTGACTGTAGGAATTTGTGCCCATTTAGCTAAAACAGCATTTGTTAGGTCAGGTACTGATGAAGGATGAGAAGACTAGTAATCTGTCTTATAAATTCACCCAAGGTGTTCAAAAAGGTTGAGGTCAGGGCTCTGTCCAAACCAAACTCATCAAACCATGTCTTTAAGGAGTTGGCTTTGTGCAAAGGGGCACAGTCATGCTCTAAAATGTCTTTGTATGTTGTAACAATAAGAGTACCCTTAACCGGAAACACCTCAACTCCTTAATTTGAAGTGGTGTCCACATACTTTTGGCCATATAGTGAATGTGGCAATATGTATGATAGCTATTACTGGTCTGTTGGGGTCAGTTAACATGCATAATTAAAAAAACTGCCCTCAAGGACATTTAGTTAATAAGAATCTTAAGCCAAGAGAAGCCCGGGAGTTTCAGCTTGACTTCAGTTGATGTTTTCTAGCAAATGTATTGCAGACTGGCTGTGAAAACAAAAACGTACCTGCAGACGCTGGACTTGCGCGACATGGTGGTACTGGGAGAGGACGGAGGAGTCTGATAAGACCAGTTATAGTCTGAGCCCTTCAAGTCATGGATCACCTGTTTGGGTGGAAAGAGATCAAACAGGATGTCAAGCCTCCGGGAGGGACTGCAATTGTTGTCAGCAGTGGGTTCAAGCAAGATTCTGAATGATCATTCTATAATCAAAATCCTAAGCCAGAAAGATAGTGCCAAAGTCTCTCACTGCTGGCCGTGCCTGCGCATTGGAGCTCCAGTAGAGCCCCATAGACTATAATGGGGCTCTACAGCAAAGGCATGGCCAGCAGTGAGAGGACTTTGGCTTGAAATGTGGCCACAGGTGCAATGCTTTAAAAAAAAAAAAAAAGAAGAAGAAACTAAGCATTTCATTTTAAAAGAGAACTATGAGGTAAGTGTTTTTCCCCATAGTTCTCTTAAGGGTCACTAGCATGACCCAAAGTTCAGTATATCGCGAGCTACAGCTCGCGGTATACTGAAACCGCCGCAGCCGGGCCGGATCCTGACAATGCTGTCGAGATCCACCCAACTGCGTGAATGACAGCGGGCTCTGCCTATCTAGACGCAGAGCCAGCTTTACCAGCTCCCTCCCCCATCCTTCCTCCAGTCAGCGCTGGAGGATCGGGTAGGGGGGAATCCCTGTGGGGAATAACATATACCTTTCCATCTGTGTACCAACCTGCTCACTGGCAGAGGGTAATTTGTGGGGATCCATGGTGAGAGTCTTCAGATCTTCAGATATCGTCTGTAAATGAGTGATCTCCCCCAACATGGAGATTTCCTCTTCCTGTGGAAGGAGGACAGCAGGTCAACATTGGAGTTAGTGCAGAAGGCCAAGTGTTACCCTTGAACAGAACAAGCATGAGCTCTGATAGAAGGTAAATCAAAGCACTTCACTGATGATGATGCATCTTTATTTACGATAGACTGACAAATAGGTGGACGTACAGACAGATAGATGGGCGGGTGGGTGGACAGATGGTTCTGGATTGACAATTGTTATCAGAGCAGGCCTATGCTGAAATGTTCACGTACAGCTGTGTTAACAGTGTTTCTGGAATGGATAAAGCTGAAACATACCTTTCCTGGGGAAATGCTGCCCTTAGTTTCTTTTAGTGCTGGTCATGTGTCTAATAGGCTGGGCATTTAATCGCATGGTCTTTGCTGAAAGGGAGGATTAGAGAACTAACTGAAATCTCATCCTCCCCTCTTATATAACCAATTGGTCATCTGGCCAACACTGGAGGGAACCCACATCAGCATTTTCCCCAGGTGTCAGAAAGCCAGAGTTCGAGTGTCGCCGTCTGCGCATGCGCAAGCGCCTGTTGTGGACCATAGAGCCATAATAGGAGCAGTGTCTTTGCATGTACGTGCGCGTCATGCTCACGTACGCGCGCGTCATGCGCGTGTTTGTGCGCACGGGCCGATGTGTCATTTGAACAATTGGCGCCAACTGGGCTATAAAGGCTGTGTTCAGCTATCCTCCTATGCTGTCAGATCGTCAGCTTCCTGTGTTCTGTGTTCTCTGTATCCCGATTACCCGTTACTGACCCGGCTTGGACTACCCTCTGTTGTTGCTTGCTCCCTGAAGACCCCGGCTTGTTTTTGACCTTGATTCTGCCTCACCCCCTGTACTACGTTGCCAGCTCGTTGATGACCTCGGCCTGCTTGACGATCCTTCTGCCTTGTGTGTTCTGCTTCCAGCTCCCTCAGCTCATCGGATCTAAAGCCTTCTGGATCCTCTTCGGTGCATCCGCATCCTGCTTCCTGCCCGGATCTACGCACTTCATCTCATCTCACAGATGCAAGAGGCTAACCAGCCTCTGGCACCCTTGCCCCTCTGTGCCCCGGCGCCCCTGTAACCAATCCAGGTGCTCCGGGACCAGAGCTGTGAGAGAGGCCGCCCTCGTCAACTCAGACTCCCCTAAGGTACGTGACACCAGGAGAGTTATTTCACCCCTTCTGGTAAGCAGAGGTTTATCAATGCCAGGAAGGCTGTTAATGTAGCTTGAACATCCAAGCAAGGGCTTCTTTTACGTAATCTCAGTCTTGAATAAGGATACCAGGTACCTTTAATACAAAACAAGCCATTAAGACCTAGTAACTGTGTCTCATAGTACATATCATAATGTTCATAAATAGGGCTCTAAAATCTGACTTGCTCATTGAGCTCATGTGTAGCTCACTCAACCAACTTGCTGCCTAAGAGTGAACCTCCACTTTGCTCACGCAGGACAAAGCAACAGGTTCCTACCATAGCAGTATCTAACACTTGTATTGCCTTGAATCCTCTGCTGCTCTGTTCACAGCCAACAGCGAGGAGTATACGCCCAGTGTAAGTCCAGTTAATCTTTGTACACAGGGCCCTTTCCCCACCACCATGCAATGGCACCTAAGCGGCCATTTGCCAAACATCAGTTGTGTCACGTCGATGGAGGGGGGTGGTTGAGAATTAGAGAAGACCGGTTGCTTAGTCCATGCATGAGCAAAGTAAAAACAAGATCACATAGGGACTCGTACACACGCATACACATGCAGAATCACATACATGTACGCAATAGGTTGAACTTGAGGGACCTGTGTCTTTATTCAACCTCAAATACTATGTAACTATGTAAAGTACAGGTTCACTTTAAGTGATGGCCGTCAACAGGCAGTTAAAGCTGAACACTGGATAGATATAGAAGAAACCAATGAATGAAGCACTGTATTCACTAAAGCAGTGCAAGTACCTGAATGTGACCTGGTAGCAGCCTCTCCTAATCCCAGTTCAGCAGAGCTCAGACTCTGAGAGGGAGAAGCAGCACAAGGAGTTAGTCAGTTGTGTTGCAATGCTCATGCGCCAACAAAGAGCTATCTGAGCTAGCGGAGAAGGGAGCAGAGTGACAGAGAGATAAGCTCATCAGTCTGCTGCTGCTTCTTCTTGGGCTGTGCCAAGCAACAGAAATGAGTAAATCCTGGGACTGGATGGACAGAAATACAAATTCTTTGGTGGGTAAAACAGCTCATATATGTATTATATCAGTGAGTTTATTGCATGGAGTACAGCGCTAAATCTCGCAGTACCAAGAGATGCTAATAAAAAGCATCCTTAAACTGAAACATGCAATAATATAAATGCCAGCGCACTATTGTTCTTTCCCATTCAGTTTTAAAATAAGTTCACATGACAGAAGACATCTCTTCTCTGTTCTGCTCCTGTGAATGGAAGAATAGCATTACACGGTGCCTGTGTGCATAAGTTGGAACATGATGAGGACTTACGATGACAGGCCGCAGCATGGAGATAAAGGAGCAGAAGCGGCTGCGTTCCTCGATCAGGGCTTTCCTCACCGCCTGCTTCTCCGTTTCTTCCAGCAATAAATATTTATCATTGACGTCCTGCAGGGCGCTGTCCAGCTGAGGCTGAATGTCTCCTCTCCCTGCAAGAAACAATCATAGCTCTAAAGATGCCCACAGATAATAGATGGCAGTCACACGAGAAGGCGTGATCCCACCATCCAAGATATTTCCATAAACGTGCATGCTAGGTACACCAAGGTGTGTTTATGTCAATGGAGGGGGGAAGCAATAGGCTGCCCTACTGATGGGTTAATTCTAAAGGAAACAAAAGCAGTCTGATGAAGAAATCTAATATGGCTGATATACAGTATAGTTCCCCCAGAATAGTTGACCGATATCCAAGTCCTCTAGTAGTTGGTCTACAACTTACAATATTTAATACAATAACAAAATCAAGGAAGAACAAGCAGACAAATAATGTGAAAGTCGCCTAAAACTTACTTTAAGGGTAAATATTACAGTAAAAACTAAAAAAATGTGCTTCATACATACAATGTACTATAGTTGGATCATTAACAATGAAACCTAGGCAGGAGCCTAGAGCCCATTGTGTCCAGGGGGCCCAGCTACAAACAGATTGGACAGCCTGCTTGGTCAAAGCTGTGCACCTGCCTGTCACTGCACAAGGGAAGATGCACATGTAGGCAGTTGATCTTTGATGGAGTGGGCCATTGCAGTCATGACAATGCAAATGGGTGGATTTTTTGTTCCTATTGTAATGCTTATCAATGTCAATCAATGGGGTAGGGAAGGGGGTGCAGGGGGTCTTGTGGCAAAGTTCTCTTCTCATCTCCCCTAGGGCCCCACATGGTCCTAATTCATCTTTGCACTGTACTTTGCCTTTAAAGCACATTTTCCACCCCACAGTTTGTGTTCCCGTCACCTACGTTCCTTTTTTGTTGAACATTATACAACTCTGACATGACAGATAAACAGTGCCTGACACTTTCCAAATGTACTTTCCCAGAATGCTTTGCAACCCTTTTTCCCGTCACTCTATAAAATGAAAAATGGCAATCGGCTTGGAGGTGTAAATCCCTCCGGATCAATTATCTGAAGCATCGATTGTCTTATCACAGGCCAAGTCAAGCCGTTCCAATTTGTAAGAGGTTTCCTCTATGATATGCATCTTGCTTCCACAAGAGCCAACTGGGTGGATTAAAGATTGTGTTATATTGGACGTTGACTGCAATAGATGGGTTTTTAATTGCTCATCGGAGTCTCTTATTTGATGGCACGTAAATAGAGAGCATTCTCTTCACACAGCTGAGTGGAATTGATCGTCTCAGAACTATAGATGAGAGAGAGAAAATCCTGATCTTGGAATGAGACATATTCCTAAACAGAGGCGACTTTCTAAAGCCTGCTGAAGGACTCCGCAGGCAGCCGGTTGTAGACTAACCTAGCTGCCAACACAAAATAGGCTGTTATAGATAATAGGTGCCTTACAGAGTCCATTTATCACAAAAGATAATAATCTTTTTAGACAATCATCTGCTGCTGAGCACCTGCTAAACTACATTTTAGCAATATCAACTCATATACCGGCAGATAATCTAACTGCCCATCTCCTACTATAAGTTGAACCTTCAAATGCAGCTCCACTTTAAATAGATTTCTCCAGCATGGGTAAAATGAGGGTTTGATCTCCCCCAGTCTTTGCTGCTTGCTTGGAGATCCTCTTCCATTTGCAGCACTGCCGTTATTGGCTGACCAGTCATTACTGCTATCCCAGATGTTGCCTGGGAGAGTCTCCTCAAATGGCAGCACTGCCGTTATTGGCTGACCAGTCTTTACTGCTATCCCAAGTGATTTTCCGGGAGAGTCTCCTCCATTTGCAGTACTGCCGTTACTGGCTGACCATTGCTACCAGACTACAAGACACAGTAGATAACAGATAACACAGCAATTCTGTATCCTGCCTCCACTCATGGTCTTCCCATACAAGCAAATGGAAAACTCAACTAGCAACTGCTTACTGTGGAGCATTTTGGGATATTGTATGGGACCCATGAAGCCATGGTCACATGATCCAAGCTAAAAGGGACAGGGGACTAAACGCCAGGCAAAGCCAGCATGTCTTTAGAATTCAGTGGCTCTGGTCCTATCCTTCTGCAAAGATCACATGAACGGATATACAGATCCTAGGATAGACTTCAGCAGGACGTATATACACGTATATATATCTGTAGTTACACTGAAAGTGTAAAAAAAAATTATATTTTCTAAGGATGTATTTTATGTATAAAACCTAACAAATTGCAGAGCTAATATTGGCAGTTCCTTCAGACGCGGTCTGTTCTGACGGCGGGTTTGTGCAGTGTATGAAGCGAGCGCGGAGCTCCTGTCACTCAATGCAGGCTGTGGTTGCCATGGAAACTAGAGAAGTTCTTTAAAAAGCTATAAGGGAGGATAATGACTTACTACACTGCCGTCTGTGCGAAGTCTGGCGGAGTGTAGGGAAACACACAAATGCACTTCCTTAACTTCACTGTCAGCCTACCCCCAGGGGGGGTACAGCCAGCAGTATCGAGAGGCCTTCTTATTATAGACATAAATCTGGTAGTATAAAAGGACTCTCCTCTGCTGCCAATGAAAAGTATTATTATTTTCATACAGGAAATGAATGTAATAAACTGTAAAGTCCAATCTGTAATTTGGTAATAAACATATTGCTGTGAAAAGGAGGGAGGCGCACGCAGGGAAAATGACCAGAGGACTTCAGATGCAGACAGGGGCTCTTTGCTGCCGCAGCAGGGCAGCGTTCCAGTCTCCATGGCAATCACTCCACATCCATCACAGACATGTCAATATACCGAAGCCAAGAGCATTTGCAAGAAAATCAAGATGATGCCAGCGGCATTAATTTTGTTAGCCAGAAAAGCCCCTCTAATGCTCGTTTCTTTTATTACTAAGGGTGTGGTTTCCCAGACTTTGGGACTAAGCTCCACTGACCATGCTCAAGCCTACTGTGAGCACCTCAGTAGAGGGAGCGTGGGCAAGAGGGGGAGCGTGGGCAAGAGGGGGAGCGTGGGCAAGAGGGGGAGGGAGGACAGGGGGTAGAATATTGACAGGGGGTGGAATGTGGCTAGAGGGAAGAATGATTGCGCCAAACCAACTGCTGACAAACATGATGTACTCTCCACACAACTTTCAAGGTGCAGGGAGTGTACTCCATGATTTGTCTCATTAAGCCCTAAAGAAGGGGGTGTGTTCTGGACCACCGAAACGCGCTGGCTGCTCTACTTGAATGCCCCCTGACCCCAATGGGATAAACTTGTATCTGGACTATTTTATTTCATGTGGAGCTTCATCTACCAAGGGGAGAATGTAGACAGGGTCAGGGCTCAGCAACAAATGCATACCGGGGGTTTGGGGCCTGCAGAAGGAAGCAAAGCTTTTTTGATGACAACTTCCTGCTTTCCTGGATACAAATATGTCAATTTAAGCTTAAGTCAAGCCTAAGTAATGACTTGTTATGGCTTCATCTGCAATGTTTGGACAAAGGTTCTCAGATAGAAAAGTGGCAGCAGAACGTACCTTTCTTGGCCTTTTTCTGAAGTTTAAGAGTGTCTGATGACTTTTTCTTGATTTCTTGACGAGCCTTTTTGTACTCTGAAAGACAAATGCAAATAATAACGCACACAAATAACAGCCTGCAGGGTAATGTACTTCTACAGGAAATTGCACTGTACATGCAAATCGGAGTTTAAAGACAATCCTGTCCCCTTCTATGATTGACACAAATTAAGAAAAAAAAATCTCTCCTTTCTTACAGAAATCACTGTTCCAGACTTCGACAGTGGCCGGTCACATGACCATATGCCTAGGCATTAATTGACATAATTTTGGCCAGTTTAATTTTACAGGGGGCCAGTAGGGATAATCAGTAAGGTAAGGGGCTTAGCTTGGGTTGATTTGGTGTGGGGACGCACTGGGGGCTTTAGATGGCATTTTAATGTGCCGAGCCTCCATTGCATCTCTATGCCTTTAAAGAAGAGTGGGCTATCTCCAGGCATACCTGCATTCAATGTATCCACAGCTATACAGTCATGGCCAAAAATATTGGCACCCCTGCATTTCTGTCAGATAATGCAAAACTTCTCGCAGAAAATTGTTGCAATTACAAATGTTTAGGCATTCTCATGTTTATTTCTTTTGTTTGCATTGGTATGACACAAAAAAGTGGAGCAAAAAAAAGCCAAATCCAACACATTCCACGCAAAACTCCAAAAATGGAATGGACAGAATTATTGGCACCTTCTCCAAATTGCAAGAAATAATTGCATTCCAAGTTTCTGATGCGCCTGTAATTTGTAATTGAACTCACCTGCATCAATGAATAGGTGCTGGTAATATAGAAATCACACCGGCAACCAGTTAAAATGTTAAAAAATGTACTCAACCTTTCTGTTGTGTGTCTCTGTGTGCCACACGGAGCATGGAGAAGAGAAAGAGCAGCAAAGGATTTGAGAACACATATTATGGAAAAACATGGACAATCTCAAGGATACAAGTCCATCTCCAGAGATCCTAATGTTCCTGTGTCCCCTGTGCGCAACATTGTAAAGAAGTTTACAGCCCAGAGCACTGTAGCTAATCTCCCTGGACGTGGACGAAAGAGAGCAATTGATCAAAGATTGCAACGAAGGATTGTCCGAATGGTGGATAAAGACGCTCCATCGACTTCCACACAAATTCAAGCTGATCTTCAGGCACAGGGTATAGCTTCAGCTTGCACTATAGTGTCAGCTTGCACTATACGTCGCCATCTGAATGAAAGGGGACGCTATTGTAAGAGACCCAGGAGGACCCCACTGCTGACACCAACATAAAAAAGCCAGATTGGAGTTTGCCAAAACTTACCTGATGAAGCCAAAATCCATTTGGGAGAATGTGCTGTGGACAGACGAAACAAAATTACAGCTTTTTGCTAAAGCCCATCATTCTACTGTTTTCAGAAAAAGTGAGGACTTTAAAGAAAAAAATACAGTCCCTACAGTCAAACATGGTGGGGGGGGGGGGTTCACTGATGTTTTGGGATTGCTTTGCTGCTTCAGGCACTGGATGTCTTGACTGTGCATGGCATTATGAAATCTGAAGTCTACCAAAAAATTCTGGGGTGCAATGTAGGACCCAGTGTCAGAAAGTTGGGTCTCCGTCAGAGGTCATGGGTCTTACAGCAGGACAATGACCCAAACCACACGTCAAAAAGCACTCTAGAAATGGTTTCAGACAAAGCGCTGGAGAGTACTGGACTGGCCAGCAACGAGTCCAGATCTAAATTCCCATAGAGCTCCTGCGGAGAGATCTCAAAACAGCGGTTGGGGAAAAGAACCCTTACAATCTGAGAGACCTGGAGCAGTTGGCGAAAGAAGAGTGTTGCAAAATTCCTGTAGAGAGGTGTAAGAAACTCATTGATGGGGACTGGAAGCCATTGATTTCAGTTATTTTTTCCCAGGGCTGTGCTACCAAATTTTGAGGGTGCCAATAATTTTGTCCAGTCCATTTTTGGAGTTTTGCGTGGAATGTGTCAAGTATGGCTTTTTTATGCTCCACTTTTTTGTGTCATACCAATACAAACAAAAGAAATAAGCATGAGAATGCCTAAACATTTGTAATTGTAACAATTTTCTGCACAAAGTGGTGCGTTATCTTAAAGAAATGCAGGGGTGCCAATATTCTGGCCTTGACTGTATATGCTCCAAGTTAGAGACTCTCATAGATTAGCGTTAAAACCACACTACACAGAGTGGCCTTGACGAGGCAGTGCGACTTCCACTTATTTTACAAAGGTTGTGCAACTAAAACCTCGGTGTAATTTGTTTTTCTTGCAGCGTATAGAGTATGGGCTTAAGCCCAACGTCAATGATGTCAAGGCTTCATTACTAACTTATATAAAGGGACTAGGATTGTTCTGGACAAAATAGGAAATAGAAATCATCTTGTGGCAATGCCAGATAATCAAAAAGCAGGACGGATTCATTTTAAAGCGTATGTAAAGCCAGAACTATTTTTTCTAAAGCATTTGATAAAGTAATGAGGATTTTGAACCCTTGTCAGGTTTTTATTACAGTATCCCTGCTGGGAAGAATCATCTTCTCTATTCATGAGATTGATGTAAAATCCAACTTTTTTTGTCACATGTTTAGGAGCTAATAGGAAATCTTCCAATGAGGAAACCTGTTTTGGTGACTATCTAAGAGGAAAGACCCCTCACCTTTGGAAAGGGTTTATATACACTTGATTGCGTTAAAACAGGAACTCTTTGCTAAAACAGGATGTAACCCAAAATGTTTTCTGAACGGCCATGTATAAAAAATCCCCAGTCACACCTCTTTAAAAAAAATTAACTTAATTAAGTGGACTGATGGGATTTCAAACATTTTCATCATCAATGGAAAGCACCTTTAATGCCTTTAAAGCATATTTATATTTTTGCAGCCAAATTTGAGAAAACCCCACTATAGCTATGTTTCGTGTTTCTATTCACACAACATGCTTAAAAATTATTTTAAAAAATCCTTATTGTTCTTGTTTCTTTTGAGCATAATTAAACATATGACTCTATATAACAGGAGTAGCCAACTTTGGCAATCCAGCTGTGGTGAAATTACAGATTCCATCACGCCCATGGAACGTGTAGATTTATCACAGCAGGAGTGCCGAGGTTGTCTACCCCTGGCCCCAAGCATTTGTTAATGTGATCTCTGCAGAAGGATAGGACCCGAGCTACTGGCTTCCGAAGGCCTGCTGGCTCTGCCTGGGCATTAGTCCCCTGACAGTTTGCAAGCTATTTTGTACAATTTCAAAGTGCAATTACAGAGTCAAACAGAATGAAAGTGTATAAACGTGCAATGTAGCACCCAAGCCTTGAGATATTTAACCCTTGCAAAGGTAGACGGTTTTCACATCTATTTTACAACGAATAATGAGAATTGCCAGCACAATAAAGAAAAGGTTAGTTATGGTAAAAGTAAATCCCCAGCCCCCTTACATACAGTGAGGAAAATAATGATTTGATCCCCTGCAGATTTTGTAAGTTTGCACACTTACAAAGAAATGAAAGGTTTATCATTTTTATCATAGGTGTATTTTAAAATGATAGAGGCAGAATATCAACAAAAAATCCAGAAAAAAACACGATACAAATGTTATAAATTGAGTTGCAGTTCAGTGAGTAAAATAAGTATTTGATCCCCTACCAACCAACAATAATTCTGGCTCCCACAGACTGGCTATGTGGTACACAGATTAGTCCTGTCACTTTAAGAAGGTGCTCCTAATGACAACTCGTTATGTATATAAGACACCTGTCCACAGAATCTCTTTCATCCAATCAAACCTCACCACCGTGGGCAAGGCCAAAGAACTGTCAAAGGACGTTAGGGACAAGATTGTAGACCTGCACAAGGCTGGAATGAGCTACAAGACTCAGCAAGAAGCTTGGTGAGAAGGAAAACTGTTGGAGCGATTATTCCGAAATGGAAGGAATACAAAATAACCATCAATCGCCGTCTGAAGCTCCATGCAAGATGATCATGAGAAAAGTGAGGGATCAGCCCAGAACTACACGGGAGGAGCTTGTGAATGACCTCAAGGCAGTTGGGACCACAGTCACCAAACAAACCATTGGTAACACAATACACTAGCATGGATTGAGATACTACAGCGCCCGCAAGGTCCCCCTCCTCAAGAACTGGCCCATCTGAAATTTGCCAATGAACACCTAAATGGTTCAGAGAAGGATTGGGAGAAAGTGCTGCGGTCAGATGAGACCGAACTTGAGCTCTTTGGCATTAACTCGACTTGCCGTGTTTGGAGGAAGAAAAATGCTGACTATGACCCTAAGAACACCATCCCTACAGTCAAGCACGGAGGTGGAAACATTATGCTTTGGGGCTATTTCTCTGCTACAAGTACAGGCCGACTTTGCCGCATTGAGGGGCCAATGGACAGGGCAATGTATTGTAAAACCTTGGATGAGAACCTCCTTCCCTCAACCAGAACACTGAAGATGGGTCTTGGATGGGTCTTTCAGTATGACAATGGCCCAAAACATACCATCAAGGCAACAAAGCAGTGGCTCAAGAAGAAGCACATTAAGGCCATGGAGTGGCCTAGCCAGTGTCCAGACCTTAATCCTATAGAAAATGTATGGAGGGAGCTGAAACTTCAAGTTGCCAAGCGACAGCCAAGAAACCTTAAGGATTTAGAGAAGATCTGTAAAAAAAGAATGAACAAAAACCTCTCCTGAGATGTGTGCAAACCTGGAAACCAACTAAAAGAAACGTCTTACCTCTGTGCTTGCCAACAAGGGTTTCTCCACCAAGTACTAAATCATGTTTTGCTTGGGGGATCAAATATTTATTCTACTCACTGAACTGCAACTCAATTTATAACATTTGCATCGTGTTTTTTATGCATTTTTGGTTGATATTCTGTCTTCATCATTTAAAATACACCTTTAAAATTTAAAAATTATAGACCTTTTATTTCTTTGTAATTGGGCAAACTTACAAAATCTGCAGGGGATCAAATCATTATTTGTCACACTGCAAAAGAAGAAAGCTAGGTAAGAGAGTTATAAACAAGTAACAATATAAGCAGCAATTATTATTATTTATTTTAAAGCTATGCTGTGTGAATGGGAACATGTAAAAAACATAAAGTAGGTGTTATCCCAACATGGCTGCAGAAGTGGAAAAACACTTTAATACAGTGGTTTGAACTTTCAATAAGCTCCAGTGATTGCTACCTTTAGCATGGTCCTTGTCGAGCTGATTAGCAACCTTCTTCCATTCCTCTACTTGCTCTTGCAGCGGATTGATCAGACAGTCAATCAAAGCGCTGAGATGTAAAATAAACATAAAAAGCCATCAGCCTGCAGCATTCTCCAGAGCGACATCATCATCCTCCCTTCCCCCCCAAAAAACTTGCATGATTAAATGTACATCAAGCACAGCAGGTAGATGGGTGTATATTTGCATCATTTTGTCTTTGTCTCACAGGGTTGGAAAATTTGGCCACTCCAAAAATCAGTGATTACAGAACACTGAGCTAAGGGCGATGTGCGTTTCAACATCTAGTGAGCGAGCTCTGCTGCACTAGTAGAGATTGACAGTAATAAACCAGATATTGGAGATATTTAAGGAAATTTTCACATTTGGAATTTGTCACATTTTTTAAATTTGCCTATGTGTATCATTTGTAGTGATACAAGAACAAGGGGGCAGCTATATTTGCTCATTACATCTGCAGTCCCTGCTTCCTGCCTTGAAGTTCTACACAATGAATGTGCTTTACTGCTTCTCCTCACAATACAATTCTATGAGCCGGCTGACACATTGGGATTTATTCATAAAAGAAAAACGCAGATCTATTCATCTTACAAATCTGCATGTACATTCATTTTGGGCAAAAACAAATATTAGTAGATTTTCTTTCCATGTCGAAGGTGATTCATTCATAAGATTACAGTGAATCAGGAAAACACTTCACAATGGCCACTAGATGGAGTCAAGGATCATAGGAAATAAATACTTATGGTATTATGGTCTGGGGCCCCCTGCACTGCAGAGAACTGGTCGTTTTTACTGGAATGGTCGGGGAGGAAGCCTGCGGGGCAATGTGGAGTAAGGTTTCTCTAAAACGTACCCCCTTGACAAAATGAGTATTACATCTTTATTTTATTTTTTTTGGAGTTAAGCTTTAAAGGGGAAATCTAAGGAGCTGACACCCCTATGTTTTTTTTTTAATTGTTAGTTAAATAAAAATGGGGGTGCTACCTAATTGCCCAGTCACAGACTCAGAAGAAGTATGCACCCATTGAATGGCAGTACATTCTTCTTGCAAACCAAGGATCAGACTGACATTCTCCTAACTGGTGGTGGGTGTTACAGGGTGCGTTATGAGAGAATCCAGTGTAGTGGATAAGAAATCGTGTAAGGGGCCTCAATATGTAAACTAATGAATGAAACGACTAAAGACAAGAATTATAGGAAGGTGGATTGAGCAGAGGGGAGCTTATGGTAGGTTAGATGAACATTATTCCCCATCCTAAAGTGACACTAAACTCACGAGTTATTCCTAAAAATGCAATCAAGTACCTTAACTATTAACAGAAATGTATCTTATTTGTGAATTACTCGGCTGTAGATCCTCAAATCATCTCTGAATTGGTGCTGACACCGTCCTTCCTTCTGTCTGAAGGGGGGCTACTTTTGTTCCCCATGGTCCCTGTGCGTGTTGTACAGTACTCAATGCTCCAAGCTCACTCCTGTGATAAACTACAATCTCAATGCAAATGAGTAAACTAATCATGAGATTGTAGTCCATCACGGTAGCGAGCTTGGAGTGGTGACTACTTTACAACACACACAGGGACCACGGGGAACAAAAGTATCCCCCCTCCAGAAGGAAGGACAGTGTCAGCAACAATTCAGAGATGATTTGAGGATCTACACCCGAGTGATACACAAATAATATACATTTCTGGTAATAGTTAAGGTACTTGAATGTATTTTTAGGAATAACTCCTGAGTTTAGTTGCACTTTAACCATAAAGAGAAAAAAAGGGCAACACTGCAAAGTGTGGAAAGAAAAAAATGTATACATTGCCAGACCTGGAAAACTGCCTCAGTTTGGACTCTATGCTACGATGTCTCATGCACATCCGGGTCAAAGCTGAACCAACTTCTCTTGTTGCCCCTGAAAGACAAAAATGTTTATAATGAAATACAAGACTATCAAAAGGTTTTAACTTACTGTTACTTAAAGCTCAACTCTACCCAAAACCGCTGACATTTTTACATGGTTTTCAGACAAGCTGATCCACACCATCATCCTATCTCTCTTGAAGACACAAGCAGTGAGATGCTCTCATTAGAATTCCCAGTTCTGCCAAACTACAGGAGTCATTACAAAGCCACATAATGGTGTCAATCAAGTGACACCTTCATTATGCCTTTGTGGTAGGGGACGAAGGCACAAATTGTAAGGAGTCAACTAAACCAGGGGTGGGCAAACGTTGGCGAATGCCAGCTGTGGTGAATGTACAAATTCCATTAGGCACTGGAAGACTCCGACAGCCACAAGCATGAACCCTAAAGGCAGATGCATGATGGGATTTGAGGTCTCACCACCGGTCGAGGGCCGGAGTTTGCCTACCCCTGAACAATACCAAGCAACATTTAACATCTAAGCATAGTTTAGACAAAAGGTGGGCTAGAAAAGGGAGCCAATCAGGTTCCACTGTAAAGCGTTGGGACCAACCACCTGAGGGCGGCCATGGTCCAGTGTTCTCAAAAGTTTTCGCAACCCTCATTTACCTTTCACTCACATCATTTAGTTGGATTATTAAAATAACTCCATATAGATCTTCTCATAGGTCAAGTTAACATTGTAAGCTTGATGAGGTGATCGTCATCTTACGTCTATGGGATCTTATAAAGACAACCTATACTCCAGAATTAAAGGAAACCGCTACTGAAAAAAAAATACACAGATGCCTTTGCTGAACCCTTCTTTTGAAAATGGTGATCTCAAAAGAGGTCAGCAACAACATCCTCCATGTCTCTCACTAAAGGTTAGCTTTAACTTTAAGTTACTTTACCAGCCAACAAATGGTAACTTATGGAGTGAAAATCTACTTTTTGCTGAAATGACAGCTCCATGCTCTTCCAGTAAGGCATTGTCCATGTGATCTTTGCTACAAGGGTTTTGTGGACTGAGAGTGAACTTTCCCAGTGGCAGCAACCATGGGACCAACCGCCTGAGGGCGGCCATGGTCCAGTGTTCTCAAAAGTTTTCGCAACCCTCATTTACCTTTCACTCACATCATTCAGTTGGATTATTACAATAACTCTGTATGGGTCTTCTATAATGGCACAAAGAATAACATTTCAAAACATAGAGGTGTTTAACATTCCTGGAATTTTCTTTTGGTGGGAGAAATAAGATAAAATTATAAAATGAAGTTCCTCTTTGCATTATTGCACACAAACACAAGGAGGCACTGTTGCATTAGCCAAAATAAATCCATAACACCACCGCTACGAAGAAAACAATAATTTTCATGAATTGCTTGCTGTACGTCAAGTTCAAATGTCAAAGCATGTCCAATGTATCAGATTCCATCATTAAGAAATGAAGTACAAGGCTGTCCTGTCAGAGCATTGTTATCGTGTATATAATGTAGTACGCCAGTGAGACTGCTGAAATAGCAGGATGGAAAATTAGTTGCGACATGTCAAGAATAGGTTGTTATGATGGCTTATAATGTTCTGTCCAAGCCCAGAGCTTTGTCCATTGAATAATAAAAAAAAAGAAGTCTGCCGCAGAGTCTTGCGTAATTCAGTGTACTGAAGGCAAATGGATATGTATATACAATACACAGCCTGGCCAAAAAAAGTCACACACTCTAATATTTAGTTGGACCGCCTTTAGCTAGGAGTACGGCACGCATTCTCCGTGGCATCGTTTCAATAAGCGTATGCAATGTCACAACATTTATTTCCCTCCAGAGTTGCATTCAATTTTCACCAAGATCTTGTAGTGATGATGGGAGAGTGGGACCACTGTGTAAAGTCTTCTCCAGAACATCCCAAAGACTCTGAATGTGGTTAAGGCCTGGACTCTGTGGTGGCCAATCCATGTGTGACAATGATGTCTCATGTTCCCTAACCACTCATTCACAATCTGAGCCCGATGAATCCTGGCATTGTCATCTTGGAATATGTTCAATATGCCATCAGGGAAGAAAAAATCCATTGATGGAAAGACCTGGTCATACGGAGACAGCTGGACTTTTTGGGGGGCATACTGTTGCTGAACACAGACCTGACCAACTGAAGCAACACTGCCCAAAACCCAGGTGGTGACTTATTTTTTGGCCAGTGTATTTGGGGTTATTATAAACACAGTTACCTTAATTGTAAATGTGAATAAAAGAGACTCTTCAAGTCCTAAAACCAGTGCTCCATCAACGTGGTTTAGCCACCTCCATGACTGTGAACCATTGGTGGGACTTGTGGACAGGTTTGGGAAATATGGGTGTAATGCAGGTAAATGCCATAGGTAGCAACATTATGTCGAACTGCAACAACTTTCAAAGAAGCAGGTCACCAGCACTCAGTAATTTAAATGAATATGTCCTTTTTTATTGGACAAAAATGTCACAATGATCAGAAAAGCCGACGTTTTGGGGCCGCGCAGGGTCCCTTCCTCAAGGCAGAAAGATGTGGCACATCTTTGGTCACATCTTTCTGCCTTGAGGAAGGGACCCTGCGCGGCCCCGTAACGTCGGCTTTTCTCATCATTGTGACATTTTTGTCCAACAAAAAAGGACATTCATTTAAATTACTGAGTGCTGGTGACCTGCTTCTTTGTTCTGTGTTTGCATGGCGCCATCCGTGGTTGTTACTACAAGCACCATCGTCCTTATTGGCCGGGACTGCTGTAAGGTGTGCAGAGGGCTCCCCCATCGATCAACACCTGCAACAACTTTCCACATTCACAGAGACAGATGGCCTATAACAGGGCTCAACATTTCAAGTCCTGAGCTACTAGCCAGGCCTTAAGAGTTATAATACACCCCTATGTAATGCACTTACAGGGAATGGCACTTTGCACATTCAGGACAAAGAGACGGGTTCTCTCTTTAAGGCATCCCTCCCTCCCACCTCCGCTGTGCTTCCCTGCCACAACCCTGGGTGTATTCCTTGTGTAAGGTCCTTGTTAGAAGGACATGCTCATTGGAGGCGAGAGAGCAACAGAGATAAGCTCATCAGTCTGCTGCTTCTCCATTCTCTGTCCAGTCACAGGCTGGGGGAGGGACAAGAACTGTAAGTGTTGCTTAACTGTGCAGAGACCAATCAGGTTTTCTGCCCTGCCAGACAATCATGCAAAAACAACCAGATCATTTCTCATGTAAACAGCATGTGCGGTCAGTGATGACAGCATTACAGCGGGCTGTGTGTACAAACTGCTGAACAACTGTTATGTTCACTGGGAACATTCTAGCAGTGCATGATTCAAGGAAAACAAAAATGCTCTTTGCACAGGTGTCATGTACTTACATAAGCTTCCATCTTTCTCACGAAAGCAACTTGGCAAACATGTCTTAACAAGAAACTGCATGTTTGTTTTTCTCTCTCGCTCAATTAAATGTGCCCTCCAGGTGAGATATATATATATATTACACACACACACTATACGGATTTTGGGCAACTACATTACCTTACCTGCATCTGTTCCGTAGATATGGATATGAGCTTTGTCATGGTTCTTCCTGAACACTACCAAGTGCATACAAAAGGATAAGTGCTCAGAATTCATTGATCACAGTAAATAGCTACAACAGCCTTGGATAATTCACAGCAAACATCGCTCAGATTCCCAAACTGGCTTACACTGTGATGGCATCCCAGGTGCAGGCAAACAAGCTTGTTATTAGCGCCTATAAAAGCTAAATCCAGAAATAGCCGCACTCCAAGGGTTTTTACTGAAAGAAAAAAAGTATTTATGGAGCAAATACATACTGTGAATTTCTTCCCCGTGTATGCTCAACGACTAACGCGTTTCCCCATTCTGGCTTACCCCCCTAGAGATCACTCTCCTGAGAACACGCAAAGCTGGAATGGCAAAATGTGTTAGCGTATACATGGGGAGGAACTTTACAGTATGTATTTGCTCCATAAAGATTTACTTCCGTAGAAGACCCTTGGAGTGTGGTTATTTCTGGAGATAGTTACAACATCCAATGCATTTTGGGAACCTAACACTACCCCCTTCATCGAGGCCTAAATACTGGCATTAAAACAACCTGAGATGCTGGATAGTGATTGCAAAGTAGAGTGGACCAACCACTGTCGTTTCTTCAGACTGACAGCCATTTGCAGCCAAGGTCCAAGGATGCAGCCCTGCATCCCTGGGGATTTAAATGCCAATATTCAAGCCCTGAGGAATAGGGAGTGTTGAGCCCCTGAAATGCGCTGGTTGTTAACTGCTTACTGTGACAAAAAAAAAAATGGCCCCATCAACCTGTATGCACTGTAAACTACTTCAGGGTGCCTCTGGAAGACCCCCAGCTAAAAGAGCTGAAAAATTTGACCTACTACTGTTCACTTACCATTGGGATCCTGCACTCTGCATTTAGCAGTGTTCAGCAGAGAATGTGCTTGTAAAGACCTTTTTGCTAGGAATGTTTAGCATGTGTTCTCAAAGTCACATTGCCAGAAGGATGGGGAGTCCTGTAAATTCCTGCACTGTACTGTTACCTTGGTTGCAAGGAAATTTTGGATAGCCAATATAAAGTTTTTTTTCCTGCCATCTTCGGCACTGCGACACTGTCCAACACTGCTGTATGAACGGCATTTGCCAAGCGGAAGATGTATACATTGACCCCTAGGTTTTATCCTAATTTGGCTCCAGAAGTGGAAAACCCCTTTAAATTGCACATAGTCTTTCAGCAGTTTTAAAAAGGAGCTTGAGAAAGTCTTCAGTGAATTTTTTTTATACAACAACCTTCTAAGGTCACGAGAAGTGAAGTTTGTGCCTCCACCCGTATGGCGATGTTGACAATTACAGGCTTCCCAGCATAATGAAATGCTCTGACCACAAAAGAGACGACTGCTGTGGTGTCTCCAAATGACAGGTGGGCAGAGAGGCGTTCTATAAAAAAAGTTGAGGGACGAAGGAATCTTGAAATT